ACATAATCTTTTCGACTGTAATCACAGGTTCAGTTCTCTCTGTAGATGTTATCTGAGGATTGGGTTTTTTACATCCGGGTTGTCTTCAGTTTTATTTTGAAAAATAGACCGGAATGACGTCACTTCCCCTAGAAACAAAACAGTAAACGAACTAAACTAGGGCTCCATCATACTGGAAAAGGAACACTTCTTTACTGCAATTTGGAGAAATCTCTGCAAATATATCATAATTATTCTATCAGTATTGGTCTAAAGCCCATGTAGATGCTCTTTATAGTCTTAATTGGGAACTTTTCAAATTTGAATCTGGCAAATTCTTGTAAACATTTAGTAGTAAAGGGTCAAAACTATTAGAGCAGAAGAAGATTATATAATTTCAAGAATTGTTGAGCTGTCTTATTTAAATCCATCTACGGTAAGTGATTTAGAACAACAAGAATTAGCTGAATTACAAATTAAGTTAGACAATATGTACATAAGTAAAAGTAAAGGTGCACTTGTTAGATCAAGAAGAAAATGGCTGGAAGAAGGAGAACAGAACACCCATTACTTTTTAAATCTTGAAAGACATAATGCTATCAATAATTCTATCAGCAGACTAAAAATTAACGACTCAACAACTGATGATCCTGATCATATTGCTAAATACTGTTGTTCATTTTATGAGAATCTGTATCATTCTAACCTTTGTCAAGCCTCAATTGATATTATTAAAATATTTAATAGTGAAACCGATTTCTAACATCGAACAGAAACGCTGTGAGGAGCCAATCACCATTCATGAAATTCTTCATGCTATTGCACATCTTTAAACCAAAAAATCCCCTGGAACCAATGGTCTAAGTGCCGAATTCTATAAACATTTTTCTGACCAACTTGCTCTGTTTTTATTAGAGGTATTTAATGAAAGCATAAAAATGTCTCTTTGCCTGCAGCTCTTTCTCAGGGATTTACCTCCCTTATACCAAAACCCAACAAGGATCCTTTACTTGATAATTGGCAACCTATTTGCCTTCTTAATACTGACTATAAAATATTAGCCTTAGTGATGCTAAAAGATTAAAATCAACTCTTCACTCAATCACTGAAGAAACTCAATCTGGATTTATAAAAAATCGGCATATCACAAACAACAAAAGACTTCTTGATATCTTAAATTATCCTGGTTTTATCCTGGGTGTAGCAGCTTCAGTAGGGAGGGTCAGACGTCCCTCTCCCAGCCACTTGGGCCGGCTCCTCTAGGGGAATCCCAAGGTGCTCCCAAGCCAGCGTGTCCTGGGTCTCTCCCTGGGCCTCCTCCCAGTGGGACGTGCCTGGAACACCTCACCAGGGAGAAGTCCAGGAGGCATCCTAACCAGATGTCCGAGCCACCTCAACTGGCTCCACTCGATGTGGAGGAGCAGCGGCTCTACTCTGAGTCCTTCCCTAATGACTGAGCTTCTCACCTTATCTGGTTTTGTAAGGCCTCTGCTTTCTCCGTAGACAGACAACGGAGAAAACTCATTTCAGCCGCTTGCATCTGGGATCTCATTCTTTCAGTCATGACCCAAAGCTCATGATCATAGATGAGGGTTGGAACGTAGATCGACGGGTAAATCGAGAATTTTGCTCTCTCTTCACCACAACAGATCGGCACAGTGCACGCTTCACAGCAGACGCCGCACCAATCCGCCAATCAATCTCCCGCTCCATCTTCCCCTCATTCATGAACAAGACCCCAAGATACTTAATCTCCTCCACTAGGGGCAGTACATCCTCCCCAACCCGGAGAAAGCACTCTACCCTTTTCCGGCTCAAGACCATGGTCTCGGATTTGACACTGATCCCGGCCGCTTCACACTCGGCTCCGAACCGCTGAGTGAGAGCTGTGCATCACGCCCTGATGAAGCCAACAGAACCACATCATCTGCGAATAACAGAGATGCAATCCTAAGGACACCAAAACAGATCCCCTCAACACCTTGGCTTCGCCTAGAAATTCTGTCCATAGAAGTTATGAACAGAAACGGTGACAAAGGGCAAACTTGGCGGAGTCCAACCCTCACCAGAAATGAGTCCGACTTACTGCCAGCAATGCGGACCAGCCTCCGACACCAATCATACAGAGACCTAACAGCCCCTATTAAAGTGCCTGTTACTCCATACTCCCGGAGTACCCCCCGCAGGACTCCCCAAGGGACACGGTTGACTGCTTTCTCCAGATCCACAAAACGGATGTAGACTAGTTTGGCAAACTCCCATGCATCCTCCTGAATCCTGCTGAGGGTATAGAGCTGATCCAGTGTTCCATGGCCAGGACAAAAACCCCACTGCTCCTCCTGAATCCGAGATTGGACTATCTGATGGACCCTCCTTTCCAGAACCCCGGAATCGACCTTACCAGTGAGGCTTAAGAGTGTGATTCCTCTGTAGTTGGAACACACCCTCCGGTCCCCTTTTTTAAATAGAGGGACGACCACCCCGGTCTGCCAATCCAGGGGAACTGCCCCTTATGTCCACACAATGTTGCAGAGCCGCTTTAGCCAACACAGCCCCACAACATCCAGAGCCCTAAGGTACTCAGGGCGAATCTCATCCACCCCTAGGGCCCTGCCACCGAGGAGCTTTTTACCCACCTCAGTGACTTCAGCAACAGAGAAGGGAGGAGCCAAGCCGGAGCCCCCAGGCTCTGCTTCCTCAATGGAAGACGTGTTGGTGGGATTAAGGAGGTCTTCGAAGTACTCATCCCACCGATATACAACGTCCCGAGTTGAGGTCAGCAGCACACCAGCCCCACTATGAATAGCGTTGGTACTGCACTGCTTCCACCTCCTGAGATGCCGGATCGTGGACCAGAATCGCTTTGAAGCAGAAGTCTTTCTCCATGGCCTCTCCAAACTCTTCCAAAGCCTGAGTATTTGCCTCAGCGACCAGCCGAGCCACCCGCCGCTTTGACTGCTTCTAGAGTCCCACAGGTCAATAAAGCCTGATAGGACTCCTTCTTCAGCTTGACTGCTTCCCTCACTGCTGGTGTCAACCAGCGTGTTCAAGGTTGCTGCTGCGACGTGCACCAACAACCTTGCAGCCACAGCTCCGACTAGCTGCCTCAACAATAGAGGCAGGGAACATGGTCCACTCAGACTCAATGTCCCCCACCTCCCTCGGAACGTGTTCAAAGCTCTGCCAGAGATGGGAGTTAAAGCTCCTTCTCACTGGGGACTCTGCCAGTCGTGCCCAGCAGACCTGGTAGGCATTTTATAACAATTATCAAAACTCTGTATCAAAACAACAACAGCTGTATTAAAATAAGGAATGGCTCGTCTCCCAGATTTAACATCGGTAGAGGAATCAGACAAGAGTTTCCTGTCACAATAAGACCAGTCCTTTAAAAGGGTTAATAGTTGCTGAAAAATAAGTTATCCCAACACAACTAGCTGATGAAACTACCCTGTTCTTAAAGGACAAGAATCAAGTTTCATTAGCAACCCAAGTATTAAATTATTTCTCAAAAGCTTGTGTCTGCGTTTGAATCTCAAAAAATGTGAGATTATGGCAATAGTAAAATGTTTCCCAAATCTTTCCTTATTAATCTTTTAATTATCTTGGCCAAATTTCACTTGCTTAAATTTAAATTTCTAAAAAAAAAGAGAAAAAAAAAAGACAGACTTTAATGTTTATTTATTTGAAGTTAAGCAATATCTTCATACTATTCAACTCTGTTCACACCAGAAGGCACAAAAAAACACAGCAATCTGTTCCCAACCAAAAATTCTGGACAATTTAATGTTGTAGAAATGTTTATTTGTAGAATGTTTATATGTATACATAGATACAGAGATGGCAAAAGTACTCACTTTCCGTACTTGAGTAAAAGTACAGATACTTGTGTTAAAAAATACTCTGGTAAAAGTGGAAGTACTGATTAAACTTCTTTACTCAAGTAAAAGTAACAAAGTACAGGCTTATAAATTTACTTAAAGTATAAAAGTAAAAGTAGAAACCACTTTTTTCATGCCGTTGCCTACATTTTAAATGGATGTCTGCCAATAGGACTAGATCTCCGTTGTGTTCATTTTCAATCATCTCGTCGTCCATGCTACTATGCTAACGACGCCGCCACCAAGCTGCAATGATTTGCCGCGAATGAATACCGCCGAATCTGTCGATTCATCTTGTAGTGGTGCGTCAAATGCAACGTAGATTCCCATCCAATTAGATTGAATTTGGTATTGATGACGTGAAAAATAATAACGGTAACTCCATTGAAATGATTCAAAACTAAAGTAACGAGCCAATTTTTTTAAAATGTAAGGAGTAGAAAGTACAGATATTTGTGTAAAAATGTAAGGAGTAGAAGTAAAAAGTCGCCATAAAAATAAGAAGTAAAGTAAAGTAAAAATATCAGAAAATTCTACTTGGGTACAGTAGGAAAGTATTTGTACTTTGTTACTTACCATCTCTGCATACATATGCACACATGACGCTCCCCAGCGCACATGTTTGTCAATCTGTTTGTCTATTCTGCTGATTATATTTATTATTTGTAACATATCCCCAGGCATATTTGTTTGTATGTTTTATATTTTATTGTTGACTTTAGGTAAAAAAATAAAAATAATAATAATAAAAAAACAGTGATTATAAAGAAAGGATTTTAAGGTTTTTTGATTTTCAGAAAATACATGATTAAACTTAACACGTTATAGTTTAGTATGCTTAGTGTTCTGGGTGAGGAAAAAAACGTATTTAAAATAGTAAAAACAATATCGAGGATGACCCGGAAGTAGATATAGCTGCGCATGCGCAATGAGCTGCTGACAGGGATCGGGTAGCATTGGCAGCATTAGCTTAGCTTGTGTGTGGAGTCATTGTAGAGAGGCTGATAATCTGGGAGTGTTTGCAGTGAGAATGTCTTCAGTCCAGCTTCAAGGAGAGTTTATCACCGAGCAGTTAACTCCTGCTGAAGAAACATTCACGGAGTTTAAAGGGAGTTTGGTCAATTCGGAGGAAAAGATGGACGATCAACATCTACTGCTGGATTTCACCAGGATCCCCCAGATCATCTTACACCGGATAGGTAGGAAACACCTGATAGAAACGATTCCCTGATGATGCACACTGTGGATTTTAGCCTCATCTGATTGGAAAACTGCTTAGAGGAGATCAACATGCTAAGCTAGGGCTAACCTACTGTCAGCGGCCATCTTACTGCGGTCAGCTCGCTCACTTCCAGCATTGGGTTTTAATGACTGCGGTCAAGTTAGTCATTTTCTCCGGTTAAACCTCTTCTTCTCTCCGAGGTCACTGCAATCACAGAAAGCCGTCTCTACCATAGAGATAATATTAGAGTAGACCCCGCATTCACTGTCTCTGCGCAGACATTACGGGCGCCATCTTGGGGAGGTCATCCTGCTGCCCTAACCTGCTGCTTTAAGCAGAACAGTAGAAGGATGCCTCAGCACTGCAGCGGAGTTTAGTTTAAATCAACAGACTGTTGACATCAGGGCTGGAGGGAGAACTTCATGAAGGCATCAGAGCTTTGGAAGACATTACTAAATAAACAGCAGATATACACTACATAGAATAGAAACTCCCTTTGTTGGCCCACTGTGGGGAAATAGTGGAGTTACTGCAGCAACAGATTACAGCAATATATATATATATATATATATATATATATATATATATATATATATATATATATATATATATATATATATATATATATGGAAAGTAAGGGCAGCAGTGGTGCCAGTGGTAATTGGAGCACTGGGGGCTGTGACCCCCAAACTGGGAGCGTGGCTACAGCAGATCGGTCTTTGTCAGACACGTGACTGACACGCCCCCTAGCGCCATTTTTGTGGTGAGCGGAAGAAAAACAAAACAGCAGAAAACAAGAGGAGACGCTGCCAGCAGTGAGGATTATCAGTTAAATGGAAAAGAACAAGAAAACTGAACGGATACCCTACCCAGACAAACTTTCTAAAGCTGCTAGGGAACGATATAATATATTATTATTATAGTGACAAGGCAGATGTTGTGGGCAGTTGCACAGATAGCTGCAGTTATTAGATCAGACTGAACGAAAAAACTTGTCATAATTTTTGCACATTGATAAGTTGCACACTGTATTTGCTGTTCACTTTATCCAGGCCTGTTTTCACTGGGATCTGCAGTCTTCTTCACAGATATCACCTTGAAACATCTTAAACAGCTTAGAGCTTAACAAATAAGCCTTATTTCTAAATAAGATACAAAAAATCTGTCATTGTTAATTTACACAAACTTAAAGTGCAGAGCAAAGAAAACAAAATCAAATATTTTGGGATGCCATGATAAAAAGGCATAAGGTATTTATTTTAGGCTTGTCCTGCGGTAATTAACTGAAAATAGAAGCCATGACGGAACAGTCACACATCTTTAGATAATATATCAGTTCTTGTTTGGCTTTTTGTCCTAGCTCAAAGTCTAAAATGTCCTTTTAATCACTTCAGATATTTTTCAGTAGTAATAAAGTTTTGTAAAATTCAAACAAATGCTAACTTTAAATGTTCTTTTAGCTCCTTTAAATCTACATACATTTAAAGTGCACAGCATGGAAATCATGAGTCAATTAGAAAGAAAGAAGAGGAATAGAGATTAGTAAAGCCATTTCTCTTAAAGCTTACTTGTTAAGAATCAATGGCAGATTTTGCTTTAGAAATATAAGCATCTCTGCATTTTTGGCAGACAGCTTGTTCCTTTTCTCATCTACAATATTCCCTGCTGTGCTAAAAAGTCGCTCACTATCTACACTTGTGTACGGAGCCCAGAGGTAGGCTTGTGCTGCTTGTGCGAGAGCGGGGAAACGACTTTTATTGTCTCGCCAAAAAACAAGCGGCTGTCCGCTCCGTGGGATGACTGGCTCTGATACGTAGAGGTTAATCTGCGATGATGTTGAGCTGCTGATGTCACCGCCACCATGTTCCCCGTCTTCATCCAACAACTCAGCCTACATAGCGTTTAAGGAGCCAGCTCGACTTTCTCTGGGGGCTCAGTGCCAGTCGCTTCCAGGACAAGGACATCAGAAAGCAGCCCGCGAATCCGGGGCCTGAGTGCGTCGGAGAAATATCTGTCTTTATACCTTTTTTGTTTGGTTGAAAATAAAAATAAAACTTAAATGGATTTACTTAAACAAACAAGATTTTATTTTAGCTGCCTGTTAGGTAATATCTCTACGGAAGACTACAGACCACAGAGAAAACAAGTCCTGGGAAAATGAAAATCTTCTAATTTAATCTAAAGAGCAATCTGCTATATACGAGGGAGGAAGAAAAAGTAAAACATTTGAAGCTTTGCACTGTTCTGCATTATTTATGTATTTGAGATTTTGTATTGCATTTTCATAAATTCTCTGCTTGATTGAAAAGATAATAACAACGCTTGTTTCAAATTTCAAATCCACTCTTTATTGTACACACATTTTTACAACTTCAGAAACATTGTTAATATTTGAAGTGATGGTGAAACTTATATTTGTTTTGCTGTTATTTTTCAAAAGTAACTTTAAAAAAAACAAAATTCTATTTGTGTGAAAAGAAGAATAAAAAAAGAAGAATAAAGTTGAAACAGTACTTGATCTGGCATTCATTTATTAGCTGGTTTCTCTGTGAAAATTTCAAAACAGTCACTAATCACTGTGACTCTATGTCCAAAGGCCTCCACAAACTGATGAGGCATAATTTTGTGCAAGGTGTCTCTATCTGGCCACACAATTGCACGCTTTAGATTTGCATATAAAAATGACAGCATTTCATTGAATGTTCTGTACACTGTCTTTGGTGAAACACGGAAGAGATAAGCAAGGTGTTTTGAGGGCAGATCCAATCTCAGACGCATGAAGGTTAACAGAAGCATTTGAAATGGACTGAGAATTTTATTTTGAGCAGACATGAGAGGCAGCAGAAAATTAAACAAAGCCATAAAGGTTGCCAAGTTTGGTAGACCCGTATAGTACTGGACTTTTTCATTACTGTCTCCAAAGAAGCCATCAGAGATCCGCAGCTCATCAAGTTCACGCCGCAGCTCTCTGTTTTCTTCCAAAAGACGGTTCATCTCTGCACACCTGAGCACACACAGGTTACATTCTGTCTGTCCTTCCTGACGACCACCTTCTGTGTCATCCTTGGTGTTTGGCCGGCCAACGTTTTCAGCAGCCTTCTGCGTGTCAGTCTGTTGCTGGTTAGGGTTCTCTGTCGCCTCATGTGTTACTTCATCCTGTCGCTGAAGGATTTCATCAGCCCGATGGAGCCCCGTTTCAGTTGCTTGCAGGGCATTCTTTTTCAGCTGTTCCCGATAACCACATCTTAAAGAGCGGTCTGTGTCTGTTGGTCTGATGTCAGTGTGGCCCAGATGCAGGGATGGAGCCCAGTCTGGGTCAGTCTCCATCATCTCATATGCGGGTTGACCTGCAAAGTAGATGAAAGGTTGAGTGTTTTACACATCTATTCAAAACACTATATAAAGCACCTTAATAACAGAGCCCATTAGATTAGATGAGTTATAAAATAAGATATGCTTATGTTTCCCACAGTGGGGAAATTTGCTATACCGAAACAGCACAAGTACATCGGACTAGTAAGGCCAGAGGTAAATAAATAAACTGAAAAGCTTACAGACGAACAAAGGATTATAATAAATAAACTTAAGTAGATTGCACAGGATGAATAAATGCAGTGAGTTGGCTGACGAGTGGGTATGTACAGTGTTTTTATATGTACACTGTATTTATATATATTTATTCATAAAAAAATATATTTGTATTGCAGATTGTGTAAATGATTATATACAGATAATGCATTATTTATTAAATTTTAGCGGTCTAAAAAAGAAATAAAACAAACATCACTTTCCGCTTCTCTTCCACAGCATGTTTCAGTAGGTTTACATGAACTCCTGCAACTTTATAAGCAAACCATTTCAGCGTGTTGATTTCTATTAGTGTATATTTATAAGGACTTACCTTTGTGAAAATGCCGAGAGCAAACACGAGCATGAGGAGATATTTTATGAAACGTGATGTCTTTCCTTCTTACAGCAGCGACCCATGCAGCCCGACGCCTCTTTGTTAAGTCCTCTGTCTGCGGTCCGTATTTTTTTTCCAAGTGGGGAATACGAAAAACCGTAAGGCCCCATCTGCTGTTTTCTGTTTAGAATTACTATTGCATCCTTTGACGCAGCACCAGTGTCCCATTATTTCCAAAGAAGCAACTAGAACACGTCTGCTCTCTGTTAGTTTTCTTTTGTTTGTTGCTGCTGTCTCTTCACCACAGAAATGGCGCTAACTACCCTAAATGAATTGCGCTTTTGCGGAAGTGACGTACACTGTCACAGACCGATTCCAGGTAAAACATCAGAGGTCTCTGTCCAGAAGAGCGCAGTCCTAGGAACAGCTAAGATACTGCGCAGAACCCTCAAACTCCCAGGCCTCTGGTAGAGGACCCGAGCTTGAGGATGACACATACCACCCCACGAGGGGTGAGAAAACAGTTTTTTTTTTTTATATATATATATATATTTGTTAAGCAATTAAAATGAACCACAGCTGATCAAAGGACTGTAAAGAAAATAAATAAATAGAACATAAATCAGATAAAACAAACGTACACAAAAAGGTCAGAATAAATGTCCTCATTTCAGGCCTCAGATCTATCAAACACGTGTTTGATGGATGTGAATAATGGGAAATATTGTGGGAAACTGAAATGTTGTGATCAAAAACCTCATTGTGAAAAAAAGCATCTGAGTCTGCAGAGTCCTGAAAGTTGGGATCCAGGAGGATCTGGAAGAATATGGACTGTAAAACACTCCAACAGATGGGATGATGTTTAAATCCATTAATTAGGATTACAGTACTTTAGTTTGGGATTTCTAATGATCCTTCATTGCTTCATGTGGCTGTTATGACACTGCCATGGTCTGTAACCATGTTCATAAAGTTACCTGTGATGTCAACAAACCCTCTGTCTGTCAATGGAGCCGCGTTGTTTGATTTGCTTCCAGAGAAACTTTCAATCATTAAGGGTTTAGATTTACATGTAATTTGAAAGTACTTTGACTCACTAAAAGCCGGGCTTTTAGTTAGGAATATTTCATAGAGAAGAACACCTCCACCCCTCCCATGTGCCCTGTCATTCCTATAAACATTATACTCTGGCATAGTTACCACTGAATCTGGAGAGTTGTCTGATAACCAGGTTTCAGAGAGCCCCAGAAAGTCGATGTTAGAGTTGCAGAGTAGATGTTGAAGCTCTTCATTTTTAGATGCCATACTCCGTATATTCAAGTGTCCGCCTAACAAGCCTTTTGGTTTGGCCTGCGGATCCCAGATTGTTTTTGCCTGGTTAAGTGTATGGAAAATCTTAGATGTCCGATGTTTTTTGAAAACAGGATTTCTCTCCTTTTTTTGTAGTGGAGGCCCGGCTAGCTGTGGCCCAGGTGGTGGAGGCCCGGCTAGCTGTGGCCCAGGTGGTGGAGGCACGCGGCTAGCTGTGGCCCAGGTGGTGGAGGCACGCGGCTAGCTGTAGCCCAGGTGGTGGAGGCCCGGCTAGCTGTGGCCCAGGTGGTGGAGGCACGCGGCTAGCTGTGGCCCAGGTGGTGGAGGCCCGGCTAGCTGTGGCCCAGGTGGTGGAGGCACGCGGTTAGCTGTAGCCCAGGTGGTGGAGGCACGCGGCTAGCTGTGGCCCAGGTGGTGGAGGCACGCGGCTAGCTGTGGCCCAGGTGGTGGAGGCCCGGTTAGCTGCAGCCCAGGTGGTGGAGGCACGCGGCTAGCTGTAGCCCAGGTGGTGGAGGCCCGGTTAGCTGTGGCCCAGGTGGTGGAGGCACGCGGCTAGCTGTGGCCCAGGTGGTGGAGGCCCGGTTAGCTGCAGCCCAGGTGGTGGAGGCACGCGGCTAGCTGTGGCCCAGGTGGTGGAGGCCCTGTTAGCCATAGCCCAGGTGGTGGAGGCCCGGTTAGCTGCAGCCCAGGTGGTGGAGGCCCGGCTAGCTGTGGCCCAGGTGGTGGAGGCCTGGCTAGCTGTGGCCCAGGTGGTGGAGGCACGCGGCTAGCTGTGGCCCAGGTGGTGGAGGCCCAGTTAGCTGCAGCCCAGGTGGTGGAGGCCCGGCTAGCTGGTGTCCAGGTGGTGGAGGCCCTGTTAGCCGTAGCCCAGGTGGTGGAGGCCCTGTTAGCTGTAGCCCAGGTGGTGGAGGCCCGGCTAGCCGTAGCCCAGGTGGTGGAGGCCCTGTTAGCCGTAGCCCTGGTGGTGGAGGCCCTGTTAGCCGTAGCCCAGGTGGTGGAGGCCCTGTTTGCAGTAGCCCAGGTGCTGGAGGCCCGGTTAGCTGCAGCCCAGGTGGTGGAGGCACGCGGTTAGCTGTAGCCCAGGTGGTGGAGGCACGCGGCTAGCTGTGGCCCAGGTGGTGGAGGCACGCGGCTAGCTGTGGCCCAGGTGGTGGAGGCCCGGTTAGCTGCAGCCCAGGTGGTGGAGGCACGCGGCTAGCTGTAGCCCAGGTGGTGGAGGCCCGGTTAGCTGTGGCCCAGGTGGTGGAGGCACGCGGCTAGCTGTAGCCCAGGTGGTGGAGGCCCGGTTAGCTGCAGCCCAGGTGGTGGAGGCACGCGGCTAGCTGTGGCCCAGTTGGTGGAGGCCCTGTTAGCCATAGCCCAGGTGGTGGAGGCCCGGTTAGCTGCAGCCCAGGTGGTGGAGGCCCGGCTAGCTGTGGCCCAGGTGGTGGAGGCCCGGCTAGCTGTGGCCCAGGTGGTGGAGGCACGCGGCTAGCTGTGGCCCAGGTGGTGGAGGCCCAGTTAGCTGCAGCCCAGGTGGTGGAGGCACGCGGCTAGCTGTGGCCCAGGTGGTGGAGGCCCGGCTAGCTGGTGTCCAGGTGGTGGAGGCCCTGTTAGCCGTAGCCCAGGTGGTGGAGGCCCTGTTAGCCGTAGCCCAGGTGGTGGAGGCCCGGCTAGCCGTAGCCCAGGTGGTGGAGGCCCTGTTAGCCGTAGCCCAGGTGGTGGAGGCCCTGTTAGCCGTAGCCCAGGTGGTGGAGGCCCTGTTTGCAGTAGCCCAGGTGCTGGAGGCCCGGTTAGCTGCAGCCCAGGTGGTGGATGCCCAACTAGCTGAAGTTGTAACCCAGGCAGCTGAGATAGGAACCAGGGTAGCTGTAATTGTAGCCTGGTTAGCTCAGGGGTTGGGCCTGCTAACTGTAGTCCAACATGGCATGTGCTCCTAGCCGGTCCAGGATTTATTTCAATATCACCAGCTAAAAGTAATATTAGCACAAGTTCCAAAGCCCCCAGGGATGATCTAGTTGTAAGTGAACGATCAAGTTTACCTGGGGGTGGCCTGGCATATCCAGAATTGAGAAATCTTGTGAACAAGAGGTATTGATTCCTCTTTACTGCGTATGGAGTTGAGTTTTCCATTTTCCGAGGGCCCGTTAAACTCCAGAAAAGGTAACAACATATAGCAATGAAAAATACACATGTTGATGGCACAATCCAAGGAAATTTGATGGTTTTATAGGTGCATATTTCTGATTGACTGATTGGTCAGGTGAAGTTTGTAGGTCTACTTTCTCACCTGAAAACATTTTAAAACAAATTTTTATGACAAACTATTAGTGGTTTGAAACTATAACATTTCTTCACTTCATTTACTCTGAGCTTTCTCGTGTTGATTTGTACTGCATGATTGTAACAGTACTTTGGCCACTGTTGATGATGTATGCAAGTCTATAATTACAGAAAAGTAAACATATTTCCATGTTTCTCCAAACAGAAATGAACGGTGAGAAGGAGACTGATTCCTGCTGTGATCAGTTTAGCAGATCAGCACCGGCAGCCTTTAGTTAATGGGCTAATCTTAACCAGCCTCCACTGGTATCTTTCACAGACCTGTTTTAGGACCTGAAGCCTCCACATACAAGCAGCTAACCAGTCTTATATCTCTGGAAGTTCATCTGACTAATGAATAGCTGTTGGATCTTAAGATCTTCAGACTCAACACAGAAAACTGTTGTTTCCATGAAGGTAGATGAACATCTGTGAAGCTACGTCAGCTATACAGTTTGTTCAGAAACATTTTATTTCACTCTAAAAAAACATTTTTTGATTCTGAAGGAGGAAAACAAAAATCAACATAAAATAATTTTAAAACTGAATTTACAACCAGATTGTCTGTCCGGATAGACTCTACAGCTTTGATGATAAAAGTGGCTGACAGTAGAGCAGTGACTGGTCTTTTATAACCTGTGATTTTAACGTCACAGCTGCAGTGCATTCTGCAAGATTTAGGTCCACTCTGTTTATATCAGCATGAGGATGATTAAAGTGAGGTGTCCTTTCTTTAACCTACGATAGAAAGTCTTTCTGCTGTTTGTCTTTCAGACCGCCTTCAGGATTATGTTGGGAAAGAGGAGGATTTCTCTGACCAGCAGCTCTGTGGACAGGAGAGGAATTCCAGTTTGGACCAAGAGGAACCAGAAGATCTGCAGATAAAAGAAGAACAGAAAGAACCAGAACATCCCTGGACAAAAGAGGAAACCATGGAGCTCCCCATAGGTGAGCAGGAAGAGCAGCTTGTTCTGCAGCAACAGGCTAAAGATAAAGGAAAGAAACTGTCCCCATGTTTGACACGGAAAGAACACTTTCTAAAAAAGAAAAATGTTATGGTTCACATGAAATCTCACACAGGTCAGAAGATTTATGAATGTCGGTCCTGTGGAAAAAGCTTCACTTATAAACATCATCTTGAAACACACATGAGAATTCATACAGGAGAGAAGCCTTTTTCCTGCTCGATTTGTGGCAAAAGTTTTACTCTAAAACATCATTTGACTGGACACATTAGAATTCACTCAGATGAGAAACCTTATTCCTGTACCATTTGTAACAAAACTTTTAATGGGAAGACTAATTTGACTCGACACATGGGAATTCATACAGGAGAGAAATCATTTTCCTGTACCCTTTGTAACAAAAAATTTAGTCGAGAACATCATTTGATTCGACACATGACAATTCACACAGGTGAGAAACCTTATTCCTGTGACATTTGTAACAATAATTTTACTCGAAAGGATCATTTGACTTCTCACAAGAGAATTCACACAGGTGAGAAACCTTTTTCCTGTACCATTTGTAACAAGACTTTTACTGAAAAGGGTAGTTTGACTTCTCATATGAGAGTTCACTCAGCTGAGAGGCCTTTTGTATGTTTGTGCTGCAGAAAAAGCTTCTCTCACAAGTCTAATCTTGACAGACACATGAGAAGTCACACAGGTGAGAAATCTTTTTCCTGTACCATATGTAACAAGAATTTTAAAGAAAAGAGTAATTTGACTTATCATGTGAGAATTCACAAAGGTGAGAAGCCTTTTGTATGTTTGGCCTGTGGAAAAAGCTTCACTGAGAAATCTAGTGTTGATACACACATGAGAATTCACATAGGTGAGAAACCCTTTGTATGTTTGTCCTGTGGAAAAAGCTTCACTCAGAAGTCTTATCTTGATACACACATGAGAATTCACACAGGTGAGAGGCCTTTTGAATGTCTGTCCTGTGGAAAAAGCTTCACCTCTAAGTCCTGTCTTAATCATCACATCAGAATTCACACAGGTGAGAAACCTTTTTCCTGTACCATTTGTAACAAGACTTTTACTGACAAGAGTAGTTTGACTTCTCACATGAGAGTTCACTCAGCTGAGAGGCCTTTTGTATGTTTGTGCTGCAGAAAAAGCTTCACTCACAAGTCTAATCTTGATAGACACATGAGAATTCACCAAGGTGAGAAACCGTTCTCCTGAATGATTTGTGACAGCGAATCATTCAGCGAATTCGTAACAGCAGTTAGACGCCACAGGAAGGAGCAGTTGAGGCGTTTTCCATTTTTGGTGATAAAATGTCAATCTAGAAACTGCTTCACCTGGTTGCATGAGAAAATCAAGGGTTAATGGTCTTTTTGGAGTAAAGTTTTTAAGAAAGCCATTATTTGGAAACACATTACATAGAAACTAGAACAGATTAGATGTTATATTCTAAACCTGGAGTCTCAGATGAAGATTTGGGACGTATATAAGTGTGTCATTCTCAGCTAACTATTAGCTGATTAATGTTTTTTAATGATTCTTTGAAAGTATAATTTTCCTTTGAACTACTTCTAATAGTTTTGATCTTGATTCTTTGGATGTTATATTTTACCTGCTATGATTGAAATGAACTTTAACCTCTTTTATACCACTGATTCTATGTAATAAGTGTCTAATAAAGGTGCTGGAGATCTCAAAGCTCACATGGACACTGAAAAACCTGACAAAGCTCTGAGTGGTGAGAGTTATTCTGCAAAGTTGACTGAGTACTTTGTTAGAATGTTTGTTGAAGCTGTATTTTCTAATATAGAAGAGGACATATTTAGAACATGATTTTATTTATGTATTTTAATAGAGAGCTTTAATTGTGTAATTGGTTGTTAGAGATTTTACTACAAAGGTTATTTTTGTATCATTTAGGTATAATAAAGCTGTTAATTAACCTTTGAGAAGCCTGTCTGAATCCGTCTGGAGGCTGGGCAAAGTGTCCTCTTTATGGAAATCTAAATATGCTCACCCTAATATATATACCTATTCTAAAAGAATTAGTTCTGTAGTTCCCATTTTTAAGCCAACTGATGTTTGCAGGAGCTGTTTTGAACTAGACTACAGAGGGACGGCAGCAGTTTATGGATCATGTTACTTCATGTTTTTGAACTTTATTAGGGAGATTCACTGAGCCTCCTGATGGGTTTTTAGGCACAAGACAATTTGGAGATAAAGGCTCTTTATCTAAATACAAATATTATACTTCTGGATATTTTGTTTGGCTGTATTTTATGTGATTTCCAGCAAATCTTAGTGTCTATCATTACTCCCAAGAACTTAATTTCCGTAACTGTTTCTACTGTCACATTATCTCTCAGGATATGTATATTTGTTTTACTTTCGCAGTTTCCTAACAACATAAACTAAAATCCTAAATCCATCTAAATCCATCTAAATCCATACTGACTTTCAGAAAGCAACTTAAATAATTTCTCCAGAATTTTGGAAAACTGGAAGTAGAGAAAGAGGCCTATAATTTGTGAAATGCTTTCTCTCCTCACATTTATAAAGTGGAATAACTTGGGATTTCTCATATTTTCTGTAAATTTACGCGACTGAAATGACCTTATTAAGTACGGTCATATCGGTGCCATCGCAGTCAGTTGACCTCTTATTACATTTATTGACAATTCCCTTCCTCTCACAGCAGTGAGAAACATTGAACAAGGATTTCTGTTGATGTTTCATTCAAAGATCCAGTTGTTGTAGGATCCAGGATTATTTTCTGCCAGTTTGGGTCCAACACTAACAAAATATTTATTGAAATTATAATTATAATCGTATCGTTTACAAAAACTGGAAATTTCCTTTTTCCAGATTTTCTTGATAAAATTATTGAATAAATTCCAAATCCCTTTGATATTATTCTTATTTCTACCCAATAATTTACTGCAATAATCCTGTTTAGCTCTTAGTAGAATAGCAGTTAATTTATTCTTATATTCATTCTCTACATCCAAAGACTTGTAAGATCTCTTTATAGTTTGTTCTTTTTATTTTTCAGGCTTTTTGCAAACCCTTGGTGATCCATTAAACTTCTATTTGTTTTGATGAGAGAATATTATTAATGGAAGTTTTTATTAATTATATGCTATATCGACATCTTGCAAAACAGACTCCAAGTTATGTTTCAACATAATCATCTTTCAAAGACTTTAGTGATTCCTCTGTCTTTACTGTTTTAAACTGGATTACTTTCATCCTCATTATTTTATAGAGAAATTGTCGCTGACAATGAAGACTTGAAGATGATCACTAATTTGCTGAACTATTGATTCACTTAACTTATTGTTATCTAAGATATTAGTAAATATATTTTCTATTAAAGTGGCACCGTTAAGTGTGATCCAGCTGGGTTTAGTGATTTTGGGGAAAAAGGCTCAAACTGTAGATGGTATTAATGAACTCTTCAGGACGTTTATGGTTAATTGAGTTAAGTAGATCTACATTAAAATATCCAAACCATACTTTAAGGCTGTTGACACAATTGTCTACAATTTTTTGCAACAGATATTTTTTGGGAAAGACTTCAGAGTCGAGCAGAGTTTTTGTAAAGGCTTTGCTGTATTCACCTTTTTGATGCATGCCTGTTGCAGTTAACATTTGAGTAATAAAACCTGTTGTTGAATTTCCCATGAGTGTGCAGGTATTTATGTACCCTTCTAAGATTTAGTTTGGATTTCCTGTGATGCATCATCACATAAACTCTTTATTATGGATAAAAGGGACAGTTTTCAGAAAGCAAATTGCCATGTTTGTTTTCTTTGCTCTGATGCATCTAAATGAATCCCAGTTCAACCTGTTGCTTTCAGAGTTAACCTAATGTGTCGATACGCTCCACCTGTTGTGTGAAGCTTTAAGGTTTGTTAGAGAACATTCTAGAAAAACCCGACAGGAAAACCCAGGAATAGAGCAGACATTGATGGATGTTGGTGGTAACATCAGGTAAGTGCAGTTGTCTTGCCCAACGATACGGAGACGTACGGAGCTGCAGCTTGAACAGATAAATCCCAGCTCCTGAGCCAGCTTATGCTAACGTCGGGATGGAGGAAATTTCTGCTGCAAACCCTTGAAGAATTCAGTGTTTCATAGCTTTACTCTGGAGGAGCTGCAGAGATCTACAGCTCAAATGGAATAATCTGTCAACAGGTTAGCAATCGGTCATCCAGAAATTGGGCTCTATTAAAGCAATTTGACATTAAAACCTTATATTATTGGGAATTGTGTTCAATTATAATTGGGAACATTTTGATTGAAATCTTTACCCTCATTTCAGTCTTTAAACGATGTGGACGTTCATTTATACAATCGTTGCCTCATGACTGCAGAGAGATGCTATGGATGGTGAGCTATGCTGCAGGGTCAGATTGTGTTACTGAACGCTTTTAGCCTAAATATGTAAAAACAAACTGAATTTATAATGCAATTAATCTAAACCTTAGAAAAGAAGCCCTTTTTTCACCTTCTAATTTTCCCGCTCACATGCCAAATGAGTAGATCCTTATTCTTAAAAACAACTCTAAATACGCCTAATTAAAGAGAAAAGGGTTAAATGTTTAGATGTTTTCCTGGTCCTACAATAAAGGAGGCAAATATAAATTTCAGGCACTTCTGATATTAGTTTGAGAAGAATTTTAAAAGCCATTTGGCATTTCCTGCCATTTTACAAACCTACATATGGAAGCAAATTGTTAGCATATTTAAAATGAAAAACCATGATCAGAAATGCTTTTTCATTTTAAGAATGAGGCTGCATTGTTTAACTAATAAATGAAATTAGTAATTAATAATCCTGTTTGCATTTTCATCATCTTCCTCAACACCGCTCATCTTTTTACTTAATTAAAACTAAGAAAGAAAAATACATTTGAGATTTATTTTCCAAATGTACCCCAGCATATACATACCAAAATTCTATTTGAAATGTAAAAGTTAAAAATGAAAAAGCATTTCCAGAAATGCTTTTTCTGCACAGCGCCCCCTACCGAACAAGACCGGTAACCCGGTCAGCAAGGACCTGAGGAAGATTTCAAATAGAATTTTGGTATGTATATGCTGGGGTATATTTGGAAAATGAATCTCATATGTCTTTTTCATTTTAATTAAGTAAAAGGATGAGCGGTGTTGAAGAAGAAAATGAAAATGCAAATGGGATTATTGATTACTAATTTCATTTATGAGCCAAACAATGCAGCCACATTCTTAAAATGAAAAAGCATTTCTGGAAATGCTTTTTCATTTTAAATATGGTAACAATTTGCTTCCATACCTACAGAGCAATTGGATCCTTTGCAAATAATCTCATTTAAATACGAGGAAGTATGTGGCTTTAGCGTTACAAAATGTGAAAATAGAACATGTAAAATTACACACATCAGATAACGATAATTTCAATTAGAAACTGTTCAATATAATTTTTCCTTTGGTCAAACATTTAGAAAAAGACGTGCTTCAGCACAAAAAAGAAGCACAGGCAGTCAGGAGACATTTTTATTAAAATGAAATAAATTAGTTAGAGAAGTCTGCAGATAAAAATCACATTTTAATGACCACCTTTTCTTCCCTAGAAAAAAGGATTTAAATAATCAGCTATAGAGTGAAACCATCCTGAGAAATGGAGCAAAAACTCAACAAAATGCCTTAAAATGTCAGTTTAAACCACAGTCACCATGACAACTGATGGTTTTCTTAAAGCTGGACTAGAATCATCATCTTTGTGCCTTCTACTCTAAAACCCAGAGGTAGGTACTGACTAAACTCTGCTCCTGGAACTACAGCATCAAATATAAAATATAATCTAAGGAGGCTTTCCTTTATAACAGAGAAGAACTTTAATAAAATAAACAATGCTGCGAGAAATCAGTGGAACGCCTTTGGGTTTTAAAAAGGCAAAAATAAAAATGAACTGGTATAACATTCATATAGAGCAGCACTAAATGCTACAAACAAAATGACAAAATCAAGCTAAACTGACAAGATAAATAACTTCTCCAAGTCAGTGTAAAATACTTTAGCAAATCTTTTCGTCTGATAGTCCCTCTATGTTCAATGAGTTCATTCTGCTCCTCCAGAACAGATCTGATCACCCATTCAATGTTCAACAAGTTAACACTAATTATTAATGTTTATGTTCAAATTAAAATCCTGTTTGTAGAATATAAAGTGGATAAAAGTTACAAAAAGTGCAAATAAATCCACATCATGGATTCTCTGAGATGATTAATATTTGGTCCAGGCAGGTTAGGTCAGAGAGGATCAGCATAAAGGAGTCGCTTCTAAGAGTCCACAGAGATCCTGGATCAGCAGCTCAGCTTCTCCTGGTCAAAGGAACCTTTTCTTCCAGGTTGGTTTCAGCATCTGCTGCTCAAACTGAAGAAAACAAAACAAAGCAGATCAACAATCTGCTCTTCAACAAATGTACTAAGTATTCACCTTCCAGCTGAGAAGCAAAAAAACATGAAGCAAAGCATAAAAAGATGTAGCTCAGGTAGGGATCTGCTGCCATCTAGTGGAAACATTACAGGAGAACGTTAATAAATCATCAGTTCATGGAAAACTGAGAAAACAGTAAACCTTGTACCTGACAGCAGCATCTTTTCCTGAGCCATGACAGTTTCAGCTGTCTGAGTTTCCAGAGCGTTGATCTTCTGGATCGCCTCATCGTTTGGGAATGTTGGACCCTGTGGATCTGGATTAAAAACAGAATAATCAAAATAATGTGATAGTGTCTGATAGTATAGCAGCTTCATTAAGGATTGAATCAAATCATTGAAAAAGTAAAGATATTATTGATGGTATTTATCATCCTCTGAACAAACTACATGTAAAGAAAATAACAGTAGAATTTGTTTGGGTTCAGCTCATGTTGGAGAGGAGGGAAAC